AGTCGAAGTGCTACCCGTGTATTTTAAATCCACACACAAATTAGTCTCTCTAAACTTTTAGCTCAATTTAATTTTTAAAGCCATCATCTCCGAAAAGATATTGTTTCCTATAAACCCAAAATTTTACCTAATATATTTTTAAACACACACTTTCAAAACAGCTCTTCGATGCAAATTTTTACCCCATTTAATTTTAAACTTACCCATCCAAAAAAGATGTTTTTTGTCTATAAAACCAATGATTTATGCCCATCTATGTTTTAAACCTACCTACTTCTCAAATCACTCTTAGACCAAAAAAACTTGATCGAATTATTTTAAATGCACTTTATATTTTTATAATTTGGTATTATGTTATAAGTTGTGATCTATTTACTATAATTTGGTACATTTTTTAAGTGCTAAAGTATAAGAGATATTCTTAGTTCAAATGCTTAAAACATTATTTTCTTGGTTCTTTTCACTAATTTTCGCAGCATTGTGTACCGTTGAGAGGCTTAGTGCTTGTAAGCCAAAGATATTACCCCCATTTATACCCACCTAATTTCAAAAAGGATTTCTAAAAGCTACAATTTAGCACTCTCTATTACGTCGCGTTCTTGGATATGTAGAGAAACTTGGTTCTTTATTATTATGAGATATTTATCTACAATATTTAAATGTTTAAGGATATTTATTTACTCGGTTTTAAAATAGAGGTCACTTAAGTGCAATGTTGGTGAAATTATAGGGCGTTTGAGTATAGTTTTGGCTTAAGTTGTCATGTACTGATTAATTTCGATATATTTGTTAAGCGATGAAATATAAAATTTATTTTGCACCTAATGCTTAAACCGTTGGATTTTGGACTTGACAAATTGCTTATGGGGTTTTTGCTATAAATTCAAAGTTTTAGGAAACTTTTAATCCACTCATTTCTGAAAGAATTTTTTTGGCCTTTGAAACCAAAATTTACTACCATTTAAATCCACTCACTTTTAAAATCACTCTTAAGAACAAATTACCCTACTAAATCAATAAATTGCTATATAGTATAAGTTGTTATGCTTTGTTATAACTTGCTGTATATTTTGAAAGATTAGATATGTATTATTTAATAAACTTAATGTGTAAACTATTATTTTTAGTCTTTTTCACTCAAATACCGTGGCGCGCATCAAACATGCCTACTATAATAAAAATAGAAAAATAATCTTTCCACATCAAGGGGCTGTTTGGTTGACTGTTTTGTAGGGGCTGTTTGTTTGCAATTTGGGTAGGGGGAAAGCCTGCCAAAAGTACAGCTTTTGACAGACTTTCCACCCAAATCGCCTTTAAAAGAGGCGATTTGAGTGGAAAGCCTGTCAAAAGTTACACTTTTAGCAGGGTTTTGACAGGCTTTCCAGTCATTTCCCCCTAAAAAACCTCTTTCCAAACAGGTTCTTAGGAAAAGACTCTCTTAAAAGCCTGACAAAAGTGCCAAAAGTGTCATTTTTTGGCAGGCTTTCAGCCAAAATCGCCTCTTAAAAAGAAGATTTTGGCTGAAAACCTGCCAAAGAGTAACACTTTTCACACTTTTGATAGACTTTCAAGAGAGTATTTCTCTCAAAAACAGGGAACCAAACAGCCCCCAGGTGTTCCATATTTCTAAAGAAAATTTTCATATAATAAAGTATAATGTCCCATCCGCTTTACGCGCGATCTATCGAACAAAGGAAAAGTTCAAGAAGCGATCTAAGCTTTCTCAAAACCACGTGCGTTATCGTGTGCGCAGCAGCGCGCTACAAGAAAAAATAGTCGATATTGGGTTTTAAAATAAGCCAATAATAAAACAAAAGATCCCGCGACAGGATCGGCAGGCTACAACTGACGGCCACGATCATCTCAATACACTCCACCTCGAGCGTAACCAAATCGACCTGTCAAACCTCATCCGACCGTCCAAACAGCAAGTGGATCCTATTCAACGACCGAGATTCGTTTCCCTGCCTTTTCTTACCCGAACTCGCGGGCCCGTTAATAACGAGTGACGGGTATCCGCTGTTCTCAATGCGGCCAGAAATGAAGCGTTCAATGTCGATCTTATCGAAACCCTAATCCTTGACCAAAAGCTCTCGATTGCGTCCTGATTTTGTTCGAATTCTCTTTGAATTCTCTTGCGAGTTTGATCCAGGTTGCATCTCTCTTGGCCATGCGACCCCTGATCTCTGCGATCGACCTCTGGAGAGAGGAAACCCTAGGTTGTTATCGAGACCTCAGAATTTCTCTGTGTTTTCAGTTGATTTCTCGTAATGGCGGCGGAGAATCATGCTCCAAGCCCTAGAGGGCTTCTTTGCAACGCGGGAGCTGGCGCTGCTGCAGGTACGAGCTTTAGTTGGAGTGGATTTAAGCTGAATTTTTAAAGCAATTTGGGATTTATTAGCTGATTTTGTGTTAAATTGGTAGGTATGCTCGCGGCTACTTTCGTGTGTCCCTTAGATGTGATTAAGACTAGATTTCAAGTTCATGGGCTGCCTAAGCTCGGTAATAGTAGCGTTAAAGGTGCGATCTTTAGCTTTTCTAGTTTCTAACTATAATCTTTTCTGCGCTCAATTGCTTATTTTACTGACGCACTGATTTGTGCAACTATAGAATGTCTGAGAATGGAATTAAGCTTCATGTGTTGTACCCAATTAGCAATGAAAGAGGGTGTAGCTGATGTTGACTCAAAATCAGTAGGGATAGCATTCTCAGTGCATCTTACCACTATATTTAGCCACAATTTTGAATGGTTACTTTTAAGATAATATTTGGGCTGTGTTCCTCTAATGTCCGTGTAGAAAAATAGTGTTCATTGCTATGGTTACTCCAAGATATGTTCTAGAGAAAAGATTTGCCAAGACCAAAAATCTCTTTGGATGTAAATTCTTCCCTGGAAAAACTGAGAAGTGGTTGTTTCACTTTATGCAACAAATGTCATATGAAAAAGCTAGATGAACATTTTGAATAAGGGTGTAGATCATGGCAAAAGACTCGTGATAGAAGTTCTACAGTATGGTAGAATTTTAGCTTGCTGAATCTGTTAGAAAGATAACAAAGGACCTGTAAATTTTAGGATCAGCTAAGAGGGAAAATCATGTCTAGCGGAGAGGTGCAATCACGTTTATTGAAGATACCTGAAGCCTCCAGACATGAGAGAACACTACCTCTGGGTTTCTATTTAACTCATCCCATTTCCCTTTGGTCTTGCATGGACAAATTATGCACATTTAATTTTCTAGATGCCCAAGAAAAATGAGAGAAAGAGAAGAGGATTTGAGTTAGATTGATTCAGAATAAATACTCCCTTTTACATCGGAACATAAATGTTTCTAGGAGAATCTTTTGTAAACAACTAGAAACAAATAAGTACTCTAAATGTGTGCGAAATCAAGCTAAGGTCTAATGAAAAGGACCAATAAATCTAGAATAATACATTATTATGTTGTTCTGACACATATGTTAGACGTGTAAAAGAAAAAGTTTTCTCATTTCTTTATGTACATTGTCAGATTACTGACTTTAATTTTTAGAATAACTTCAGCTTCACTTAAATCTTCAATGGCAAGGTCAGATGATAAGGATTTTTTTTGTTAATCTCCAACATTGAAAGATCTGTGGCAAGGATCAATATATCATCAACAAAGGCAGATGATCATTGTACAAATTCCAACAATTCTTTATAGCAGCATGCATTAACTGCAATGCATCATTACTTCAATATCGAAATCTTTAAAGGAAATTCATTTAATTTTGCATCTATTATATTCATACTTTATCTTCGCGAAGGCTTCCAGAGTAAGATATTAGTCGCAATTTTGCTAGTAATTTAATCAGGCTGAAGTTAACAATGTCAACGCTACCATGCCAAACACAAAAGCTCTATTGCGTAATAGTAATACTTGTCTTTTGTCAAGTTCAGTTTAAACTATCTAGAAACAACAGTTTTTTTTCCACAGTGTAAACTTTTGCAGTCAAAATAAGTTTATCTGGCTAAGAAAAATACATTATAAAGTTGTGCCTACTCCGTAGGGCACCTGAGATAAAGTTCTTTCTGATATCTAGGAAATGTGAAACTTCCATGAGAAGAATTCTTAGAGGTAAATTGAATCTCCACATAGCTACTTTCAATTACTTTAGACATTGGGAGCAGTTTCCCATATCAATATTCGTGTCTTCCCAGTTCCCCCATTAATTTGTTGTAGGTAAAGTCGTAAAGATGTTTTTGTCACTAAAAATGTGAAGAGCAACATTAATGGCAATTCATCACTCATGATCTCCAACAATAATATTCATTTATTCAGTTATAAGCATGTAATCCTTCTATCTAGTTTGTCTTCATTGAGTCCACCAATTATTCGATGGCGAGAGTATTGGTTATGTCATTCTTTATGACAGAATAGTGTACAACGGTTATGAACTGGTCGGCATGGGTTCTTTTCTTAGGCCACATTTCTTGGATTTTTCATTGTCACGTCTTTGTTCTGCCATGTTGACTATCGTGGTCCGTTCCGTACCTCCTTTTGCCGGGTACAAAAATTCACTTCTCAACTTATTCATAAGCATATGAATTGGCAAATCGTTTTTATGTATGAATTTTGATTTGTAATCTTTACTTGGCGAAACTAGTGTCGATGATAACACTTATATGGAAGTATCATCCACCTAACCCCAATAAAAATGATTGAATCTTCAATCTTTATGAAACTCTTGGTCTTGTATGAGAACTTGGCTTAGAAATTATTTGACATTTTTATGACTATGCATTAAAACAATAACGCATTTTCTTATTTTGTTGTATTTTTAGTCTATTGATTCTAGTTTGACTTTTTACATATTTAGCCACACATTAACACTAGAGTTTACAAAATGTTTCTTTAAAAAGGTTTTTATTTATGTAAAAAGGGTCATTTGTAGGCATTATGAACCAATCCAACTCAAATTGATTTCTCCATCTCTCTTGGGTGCTGAAGAAAGGTAGACCTGCTTAGTTTTGGCAAACCAGTGCAAGACTAAAGAATAGCAAATTGAGTCTGAGTTAAGTTGAATTCTGAAGATAATTCTGCAATAATATTTTGCACGTGTGGATATTCTGACTATCTTCAGGAAGCATAGTCATGCCTCTTAGTTGGATCTGATTTGTCAATGTTACTTTCTAACAAGATGATCGTTACCTGTCGGTTATATGTGCATTCTTGTTGTTTTCTCCAGATTCTGGTTGTTTGGATGAAAATAACTGATTTTGTAGTTTCCCATGGGAGATTTTTCTTTTTATCATGTGGTTTCTGGTCTGGGTTTGAAGTTAGATAAGGTTTTAGGACAGAAAAAGTTCATTCACTTTTACTTCCAAGAACATTGAGATAGAAAAGACTAATATAGAAGTTTGTCTTTGAATATCTTAATTAGCCATGAATGAATGGAGGTGTGATTTATTAGGAGTTTAAACTTTGAAGGAAGATCTTACGATTTGCGTTCTAAGTTGTTCCTTTTGTCTCATTTTTTTTCTAGTACTTTCTGATGCCCTCCGCATTTCAGATGAACCTAAACTTTCTTGGAGGGTCCATGATTTTGCTTACGTAATACAGTCCAGCAGATTTTAAATTGAGAAACGAAAACATCTAGGGTAATGAACCCTAAGCATCATTTTTTCCTTATCTTACAAGTTTACAAACACAATAGAAGAAAACAAAATAGAAGATCATTTAACTGAATTTTTTGTGGTGCACCATGCACGTCTATGTTATATTGGTCAAAAGTTTTTTGAGTATCTGAGCTTCTGCCTTCAATTTTAATGCGCATGCAGTTTACTAAGCATCTGCAGAATTTTATTTGTCTATTTACTTTGTGATAAAGAATATAATTATTTAATGTAACAAATGGTTCTTTTATCCCTGAACTTCGCACACTTATTGTTCTACAACGCATCTTTCCAGGCAGTCTTATAATTGGGAGTTTGGAACAAATAGTTCAAAAGGAAGGTGTGCGTGGCATGTATCGTGGCCTTTCACCGACTGTGCTAGCATTACTTCCAAATTGGGCTGTAAGTTCATCTACTTTCATTCCATTCTGAAAGGACAAAAATGTACTTGTTCATCAACTCTTTAACTGCAGGATTATTTTCGTTAAATTTGTCTTGAATAACATATTCAAGTGTAGAAAATCGCTAATGAAAAAACCTTTCTGTCTTCCAAAAAGTTCTGGTCATTGAGGACTTACACATAGGAACAAAATTGTGGAATCCTTTCTTGTTTAAAATTTCCTTGAAGTATCTGGTTTTTTTTTCCATGTCATATAATTGCATGTGTTTCAAGCGACTGAATTAGTCCTTTTTTTCAAAGATTTGATTGGTTTATCGTCTTAGACAACATTCGTGCGAATTCAACTTAGACACTTTATTATACTTTTAGTTTAGAAACGTTATCATATTGGCTTAGCTATAGATTATTACCCTCATTTAAAAATCTAATTATACTTTCTTTTTGCTTGAATAATCTTATAAAAGACAATAACTTTTGTACATGGTACATCTAAGTAAGGTTATATAAATATAACACCTTCGCTTTCTATCAGAGTTCCTTAAGATGTCCTTATTCTACATAAGAAACCAAATATGAGTTGAGGACAAATTCCAGTTCCAATACAAGAGTTTTTAATATTTGGAGAATTTTGTGGTCAACATCTTCTATTGTCATTTTACTCCATTGTGCGTGATTATTTCAGGTGTACTTCACTGTCTATGAGCAACTCAAAGATCTGCTATATTCTAATGGTTAGTTCCTTCTGGCCTTGTTGCATATAAGTCGGAATTCTTGAATTGTTCCATGCTATAGATGAACATGATTTCCTTCAAAATTATAGGAAACATAGCATCTGCGCCTATCTTTATTTAAACGTGGATAGTACATCTTACATTTAATGCACACTTGGGCAGATGGGGATCATCAACTCTCTGTAGGTGCTAATATGATAGCTGCATCTGGTGCTGGAGCTGCGACAACGATCGCGACTAATCCACTCTGGGTGGTAAAGACAAGATTTCAAGTATGTGATATCTGTCATAATTCCATGTTATCACCCACTCCAGTTTCAAGTCTATGTCCATGCTTATATGCTCTTACGTTGTATGCGGCTGATTCTTTTGGATTGCAAATATGCATTATCAATATAATTATACTTGTAAATTGCCTAAATTTGTAGATTCGTGAGAATATGACTCTTCTAAACTACTGTTTTACCTGATTTTTTTCCATATGTGAGTTGTCTGGGTTTTTTCCCACTGATTTAGCATCTTACTGTTCTTCCGTTGAAATGTTTTGGTATAACAGGCACTAAGCTTTTTTTTTTGTATGATTGCTCATATTTTGCCTACTTGAAAGGGACTGCAATCTACCATAAGGACTTGTTTCTTGTGTTAGTGGGAGCACCCTACACATCATAGTCCATAGCTGTGAATTATGTACCTCATTTGGCTATTTCCTTCATTAATGCAAACCGTAAATATTAATACCTAGATGCGAATTAGTGGGTTCATCATTTGGGTATTTCTTGGACTAGTGAGCATCCTAAATATTATATTTATTACTGCAAGCCTGCAAACTAGCGGGTACATGAGTTTTACCATTTGAACTGGTCGTCTTATATGTGGACTCTTCATTCTTAAGGGACTCGTAATAGGATTCCATGCCACAAAGATCTGTAGTGCCATCAAGTGCATCCTTTGCTTTTCTTTTTCTAAGAGCAAAGGACATGTTTTCTGTATCTGTATATCATTTGACATATTTTCCATCTGTTACATGTTTATCATACACCACTCATTTGTCATCCAAAATATGGTATATGACAATATTATCTTTGAACAATTCCAACTGTGCACCAGTACAGAAGAATAGCTTTTTTAAAGTTCAAATGCACAATCACACGTGTGACTCAAACATGTAGTGAATAGCCATGCTAAAACTCGAAAGTCGGTATGTTCCTAGTAGTTTGATGTCAAAGCCTTTATTCTTTTTGAAAACAGACCAATGATATCAGAAACTCTGAAAAACTTGAACTATAGATCTACTGAATTTGGTTACCCATTGTGCAACTACATATGTTATATTTTGATCCATATGAAAAAATCTTAATGATAGCTTTAGTACATAAGATAACTGCAAATGGCCATGTGAAAAACTTACATGAAAGTAAAAGGTTTGCTTCAATCCTAATTTAAAATCTGTATGCACATTTTAAACAATGGAACCATATGTTTGCATGAACCTCATGTGTTGATTTCAATGGAAGTATTTCAGAGTTCAAACATGTCACATGATATTATTATTATTATTATTATGTAGAGGATCATAAAATGCGGTGATGTGGCATGTCTGATACTGGGATAGAGAGAATACAATGTGGGTCAAGCAAATGGGAGCACTTTATGTTGCTGTTCTACTTGCTAGCCCCGTTCACTTGTCTACTACCATATTTTTCGGGGCCACCACTCTTTTTAAGGATACAAAATATTGTCCTCCTGGAGATTCATGACCAGATACTCACTAGTCTGACCCCACCTAGAAATACAGTGATACAACTCCACCACTCAATGGAATCTGCCTAAGAGATACAAATTATGCGAAGAAGGCACAAGACTTGTCTTAATATTCTTTATAACTTCATGACTTTTTAGCTTGCACTTGATCTAGAAATATCTGTAGACTTGAGTCACTTGACACACCCCTCAAGCATAGGAAAACAATAGAAGAGAACTTCAAGGACTTTACATTTAATTTTTTGGAAACCTGAGTGATAAACAACACATGAAAAGGGAAAGACATTCAGGATTTTTTTTATTTTTAAAATATCACTGATTAATTTCTGTTAGTATGGGCCATGTGAGAATTGTGATAGCCTCAGATTTGAAAAAGACAGTGAGGAAGACGTCTACCAGGTCAACAACAAAGGCCACATATACACCTCCATGTGTGAGTTGTAAATTTGGGAACATTAGAAAGTAGACTCATATATCCTTGAACTCATATACTGTCCAGAACCTTGGCTTTGTATTCATGTATTGTTTGTGACCTCTTCCCTTTTAGGCTTCTGGAGAAATACACATTCATGTTCCAAGTTGGCTTGAAAATGTACACTTTTTGGTCAGAAATTGGAAACTTCAATGTCAATGTGGACCATTGTACCACAAACGAGACACCCACATTTGAGAAAAAGGGTGAAGGGAGGGGGTGAGGGAGTGAGGGAGACATCTGCCAGGTCAACCACAAAGGCTTCATATACACCTCCACATACGAATTGTGATAGCTTCAGATGTGAAAAAGACAGTGAAAGGGGGTGGTGGCAACCATTGATATTGAAAGATGGAAAGGTAGAGATCAAGCGTATGTGCTAAAGGTTTAGCTTCAGAAGAAGGAAACTGACCCTCTTCGGTTAACTCGTATCCAGCCCAAGATGATTCGACCTGGCCAAGTTCTTAAGTTATTACATATTTTAAAAGCATGGAGAGATTCAATTCAAATATCAATCATGCTTGGCCTAGGCATTGAAGGCTGAAGATATTTTGAAGTCTGAATTCTTAGATAGGTGCTGTTTGCTACAATTTACCCTGTTTTTCTTCTGCAGACACAAGGAATGAGGGCTGGCGTGGTGCCATATCATGGCACGATTACTGCTTTAAGGAGAATAGCTCATGAGGAAGGCATTAGAGGATTATATAGGTTATAATCTATCTTAATTACCTTAGCAGGGATCAACAACCTACTTCTTTATTTCAACTGTATTCTGATATTTCAGTGGACAGCGGTCTTGTGCCTGCACTGGCAGGGATCAGCCATGTCGCAATCCAATTCCCAGTATACGAGAAAATTAAAATGTATCTTGCTAAGCGAGGTAAATTTCTTCTGTTGGCATGCATCATAATCAGAGATTAACAATGTTATTTTTTACTAAAATTTTGTTGGATATACTTTACACCTATTTTTTTAAATCAGATAATACTACCATTGATGCGCTCAGTGCTCCTGATGTTGCCCTTGCATCAGCCATCTCCAAAATAGCCGCATCAACTTTGACATATCCACATGAGGTATTTCCAGTGTTCGTCATTTCTATGGATCAAAATAACTAGCTAACAATGAAGGTTCTTTACGAAAAAATCTTGGTAGAGTTGTATCTCGTCAATATTAACAACAAAATCTTCTCTGTAAAATATCATTAAACTAGGTTGTGCGCTCAAGGCTTCAAGAACAAGGTTTTCACTCGGTGAGGAGGTATGCAGGCGTAAGAGACTGCATAACCAGCTGCAGCCATCACTTTCACTAGCTTTGAGATGATCCATAGATTTCTTGTTGATGTATTCCCTCCGGAGCAGCACCCTCATACACTTTGATGATCATTCATATACATGATTTTTATATGTGTAGACTAAGTGATATTATTTAGAAAAGTCCATTTCAATACCGCTTGCTGGCTAAACTTGTGCCAGCTCAAGTGTTGCGATTGTTTGGCATGCACAGATACTCGAAAGAGGATCAGGCAAGAATGGCTTGATGTTACTTTGAGGTGCGACAACTAACATGATAAAAATTTGATGACGACGACAATAGAGAAAATCTTGTTTGACCTGCAAAGTCATTGTTGGATTCTTTTTGGCTGCTGGATGCTATGCTTTCCAGCAATATAACTAAGAAAATGTAACCAAACTTGGTACGCTAATCTTCATTCTTCAGGAAAGCATAGCATCCAGCAGCCAAATACGCATTGCTTGTTTCTATTAGTTGGCTTCTTGTTTCTGCTGTCATGATTTTTTCCTTTTGTTATGAAAGTCTAATGTCTATAATATGTCCGTCTTGAAACTGGTGTATGTTTCCGCGAGGAGTTTCCCAGATGAGATGTATTAAATAATTATTATATAAGAGGTGCAATTATCTTCTTCTTGGTTTAGTTAGTACTAATAGTACATGTACGATTGCGTGTGGAAGTTCTTGTCCTATGTTCTAAATTTCTTTCGTGAATAGAAAAATGAGGAGGTACTTGGAGAAAATAGATCTTTTATTTATTTTATTTTGGGAGATATCAGAGGAACTTTTATTAGTACATGTACGTTACGTATGACGGTTGGGCGTGCATCACCAAACACGAGCGGTCCTTGGAAAGAAACTATCTGTACTTGCGTGCCAAACACGAGCAGTCCTTGGAAAGAAACTTTGAGTACTTGCGTATAATATTGCAGAGATTTTAGAGCAAAATAAGCGAAAAATGATTTAGCCTCGGATAATGTCAAACTTTTACGCACTGTGAACCGCTGAACGTCAATCCCATTCATCTCCAATTTTTCTTCCATCGGGGAGCATTTGCACCCACGACAGAGACGTCGCTTCCCTTGCTAACCCATGAAAAGCATCCCCTTCCCTTGCTGTAAAACCGAAGAAGTCGAGCGATAACGGTTAGCACTAGTGCGGTGATAGGTGATAGTCGACGGCGAGACGGGCGTGTCGTTTGTGAAGGACAGCGCGCATCTTGTTCAAGCACAGTCTGGGAACGCAGTTTCACACTTCGGCAGCAGACGAGGCCAGCCATCGGTCGTGTCTCAAGAGTTGGATAAGCGAGATGGAAATAGTCGGATTGTGTTGGGAGGGAGAGTGGCAAACGCGTGATAAAGGGAGCGGGGGGGGGGGCGGGCGGGGGGGGAGGGGGCGAGATGGAGGACAAGTTGAGAAAAATGAGACAATGTTGGGAGCGAGCAAGAAACATCCTTTGTATACTTGATGGTGGACCGAGCATCAGTGAGTTGAGGGAGAGGCCAGAGGTGTGGATTTATAGACGAATGCCTGTTTGGTTATGAGATGGAGAAGATGTATAGAGGATTTTGAATTGACCGGGAGATGAAGCAGGGGTGTGAGCATTGTTCAGTGCAGACTAATTGAACTGACCCAACTGGCTGAATTCTAGTGGTTCGTTTAGTTTTAGAAAAACCTCGGTTCGTTTCGGTTTTAAAATCTTTGGAATCGAAACACCGAACTGACTGCTCTCACCGCCTAAAGCTTATATGTAACCTAATTGATAAATGTTTGATTTTAATTTGTAAGATCGTTGATTTGACAGGTTCTCTCTTCATTTGGGAGATTAGATAAGTGGAAGGTTTGAAGAAATAATAGTCTTGTCTTTTAGCTAAAAATTCTCTATATTACATGTCTAAAGTCAAACCGAATGAATCGAAACCGAACCCATTTGACATTTTTCAGTTTAGATATGGATCTAATTCTGTTCGATTCGAGGTTTGATAAAAAAAAAATAGTAAAAATCGACCGAACCAACCGTTTGCTCACCCCTACGAAACCGTGACACCATGAAAATTTTAAAGAGAACAAAGTTTATAAATTAAAGGGGTTTTTTAGATATTAGCCCCTGTCATAAGTAATTTGTATTAGCCCCTTAAAGCTTCGTATTTTCATATTAGCCCTCAAATAGCTATGATGTGCTGCTATGATTCCCTATGAAAATTTTAAAGAGAACAAGGTTTATAAATTAAAGCGTTTCTTAAATAATAGCCCCTTACATCATAAGTAATTTGATTTAAGGGACTTCATATTTTGATATTAGCCTCTCAAATAGCTATGATATGTTGATATGAGCCCCTATGATTTGGTTCATATTTTGATGAGCCCCTCAAATAGCGATGATGTGTTGATATGAGCCCCTCATATTAACAAATCATAGCAACTTGAGGGGTTAATATCAAAATACGGGAATTTAAGGGGCTTTATCAAATTATGATCAATATAAGGGGCTAATATTAAAAAAATCCTAAATTAAAAAAGGTTCCCCTAAAATGATATTTGCAAAAATACCCTAAAGTTTAAAAATTACAAAAAACCCTAATAATTTAAAATTTATAAAAAACACCCTCAAAATTTAAAATTTATAAAAAGCACCCTCAAAATTTTAACTTCTAAACAATACAAAATCGATGTGCTGATGTGAAAATTGTGGCAATGGATTTCATATTAAGTGCATGAAATAATTTGGATTGATCATAAAACCAATAAATGAGACACTAGGGTCGAGTATGGGTAGGCTTGTCCAAAAAGCCCGCCGGCCCGGGTCCGGCCCGGCCCGGCCTCGGCCCGGAAATCCGAGCCTGGCCGGGTTCCGGGCCCGGGTCCGGCTGCCTAGCCGGCGGCCCGGCCCGGCCTCAGGCCGGAACAGACGGCCGGCGGCAAAAATACCAGGCGGCCCGGCCCGGCCGGAACAGCGGGCCGGGCGGGCAAAAATCGGGCCAGACAGCCCGGGCCCGTGAGCGCCGGCCGGTGGCAACCGGTCACCATAGTGACCGTTGCCTAAATAAAGTCGGGCCGCGGTCGAGCCCGGCCACAACGGTCACGAGAGTGACCGTTGTGGCCAAAACGGTCGGCCCGGCCCGGTCACAACGGTCACTTCCATGATCGTTGTGGTCAAAATAGCCGGGCATGGCCCGGCCCGGTCACAACGGCCATAAACGGTCTTTTGACCATTTTGTCCCTAAAAACGGTTAAAAAACGGTTATTTTGTGAGGTTATTTTGGTCATTTGCTTAGGGGGCTGGTTCTATAAATAGAGGGGAGTTTTCATTTGTTTTCTTCACACCAAAACTCATCTACTTCTCTCTTATACTCTTATACTCTCTTATACTCTTATACTCTCTTATACTTTCTAATCCTTTCATCAAATGGCTTCCGGATCTGATTATGAAGAGCAAAACCTATCTCCCGATCTTAAAATGAGTCCTACTAGGTCTACTCCCACCGAAGTTAATCCTGAATTTGGTGGCGACGAATCTGCACCAAGAGCTCCTAAAAGGCCAAGATCCGATGTGTGGAATTTTTACGAGAAGATCGACGTCACCAAGGATGAACACGGTAGGATCCTCACCCAGAAGGCTAAGTGTGCGTTGTGCGGCAAGATTTTTCAAGCTCATCATAAGAGCGGCACCAACCACCTCAAACGTCATTTAGATAAACACAACAAAGGATTTTTCAAGCTCATCATAAGAGCAGCACCAATCACCTCAAACGTCATTTAGATAAACACAACAAAGGCCAAACTCCTCAAGATGATATCCGACAATCTATGATTTCTCAATCATCCTCTTCTGGTAGTCTCGGTAGTTAGAACTATGACGCTGCCAGAGTCCAAAAATGCGTAATCAGGTTTATCATTCTTAAAAACATTTCTTTTAAATTAGTAGAAGATGATGAATTTGGATATGTTTAGAAGTGGTTTTTATCCTACATTTAAAAAAATTTCTCGTCAAACCTGTCAACGTGATATTTTAAAATATTATCAGGAGAAACAAGGAAAATTAATTTCTCATTTTAAAAATTTAAACTGTAAATTTTCTTTAACTTCTGATATTTGGACATCTAGAGCACAAACTGGATATTTCTTTAACTTCTGATATTTGGACATCTAGAGCACAAACTGGATATTTATGTATCACAGCACACTAGATTGATGAAAATTAAGCACACTAGATTGATGAAAATTGGCAAATATTTAAAAGAGTTGTTTCTTTTATTGCAATAGAAGAGTCGCATACTGGTATCAATGTTGCAAATTTAATAATTGAAGAACTTATGAAATTAGAAATTTCAGAAAGAATATTTTCTCTTTCACTAGATAATGCAAGTAATAACAATGTAGCTGTTGATTTTATCAGATCAACTCTGTCATTGCCATGTCATGGTGATCTTTTTCATATTAGGTGCATCTGTCATATTTTAAATTTAATTGTTCAAAGTGCATTTACTGAAATTAAACCCATGATAGAAAAGGTTAGAACAGTTGCTTACATGCATAGTGCTTCTGAACAAAGACTTAAAAGATGGAAACAATTTTGTAAAAGAAAAAATGTAAAGCCTAGACTAATTCCAAAAGATGTTGACCATAGGTGGAATTCCACATATGCAATGTTAAGTGTAGCAATAGAATATAAAGACATTATAACTGATTTTATAAACTATTATGCTTCTAGTTCTAGTTCTGGTAGCACTTATGGAATAACTGAAGATGAATGGACAGTTATATGTAATTTAAATAAAATGTTACAAGTTTTTTATGATGCTATAATGTTATTATCTGGCTGTTATTATCCAACCATTACTTTAGCTTCTTTACAAATTTTAAATATTCAAATTTTTTTTGGGAAATATCGTATGGATGGTACTTTTGGACCTATGATTTTTCAAATGGAGAGCAAATTTAATAAGTACTTTAGGCCTATTCCTCATATTTTTGGTTTGGGGGTTCTTATTGATCCATGCTTGAAGGATATTGACCTTCGAAGTTTGTTACAATCCTTGTATGGTAATCAGATTATAGACTTAGATGATGGAACCACCCTTACTGCTACTACTCATCATTTAGCTATTAGAAATTATTTTTAAACCTTATATGATAAGTATGCAGCTAGACATGATGTAGCTACACAACAATTTATAGCTTCGGTTTCTTCGAGCTCATCCTGAGGTAAAAGTATAAGTTTTGATAGGTATGCAATGGTAGCTGAGCTAACTGGTGGATCTGGACTTGGATCGTCATCATTGAAGGTTTCTAAAATAGATAAATATTTATATGCTTCTTTAGTTAAATGT